ATTGTAAGGGAACTGGGTCTAAATTAGGTAATTCTTACTACTAACACTTGATATACTATGTAGATTCTACTAATCTAACTTTAACTTGACTTATAGATTGACAACTAACTAATTACTCTCTATTTAGGTCCTAATTCCCTTAACCTCTATTCTGAGATTTACCGGGATTCTTCCACATATTTATAGTTTTGCAATCGTGGCTGTAATTGCAAGACGTATACCTTGCAACGCGTACTGTACGTATAACACATATATATATGGGCATGTTCTCTTACAATTATACAGAAAGCCGGTCTAGTATAGTGGTCAGTACACATCGTTGTGGCCGATGAAACCCAAGTTCGATTCCTGGGACCGGCATTTTTTTTTGATATATCATGCGACCAGGTAGTTGATCACTTATGATGTTTCAAATATATTTTAATTTTGAAGTTCTTCTGTAACTATCAAGACGTTAAATAATATAGAAAATGGTAGCTGAACCAGTTCAAGCTACTTGGAAAGCATTAAACTATTATTATAATTGGACTTCAGATTTTGTTGCCACCCAACATGATAAAGTAGTGAATTTAGAATATTTTGACAAGCTACCAGAATTGAATCCTTTTTCAACAAGTAAACCGGATCCAAAGATAATCGATAGGAAACCACCGCTGTCAACATATACTAAATTGTCTGATCATGTATGCAAAAATAAGATACAATATGTATCGGTATTTTCCATTGGAATCGGAGCATGTTCATATTATTACTATAACAATATTTATAAATCTACACAGCAGCAGAAATCAATAAAATTCAAAAGGAGAGTTCCTAAATTGGCGAACGGAGCAAGGGGAGATGTTGTGTTAATTGTGGGATCACCTACAGAACCATTAACTAGGTTAATTGCATTAGATTTTGAAAAGCGTGGGTTCATTGTCTACTTGACCATCTTAGATGAGAAGGATTTCAAGTACATAGAGTCTAACCAGATTACTGAAGACATAAACTACTTGAATTTGAATGAGTCATATAGCTTTGAAGTTCAAATCAGTAAATTCAGACAACTGTTAGAAATACCAGTGGTTCCATTCCCCGGGGCAGATTCTCATTATTTAACATTGACCAGTGTGATATTTGCTCCAAGCTTATATTTCCCAATTGGTCCAATCGAGAATATTACTGTTGCATCGTGGAATAAAACGAACGAAAGATTCTCTACGTATCTCAAATTATTCTCGTCAGGGTTAGTGAATTTGATTCGTAGCCAACAGAGTAAGATAATCTTGATCAATGCAAATATAATAAGTTGTTTGGATATGCCATATCACGCGCCAGAAACTATTTTCCTGAATAGTGTTAGACACTTATTTACGGCCCTCTCCAGGGAATTGAATCAACATAACATATCCGTAACTCAAATTCGCTTGGGGAATTTGAATATCTCTAACCAAGATGGTGCATCAGAATCAAAAATTGCAACTATTGTCAACTCCGAGATTAGGAGTTGGAACGAGGACATTAAAGACTTGTATGCGTCTAATTTTTCAAGTTCACAATACAAAGCGAACCCCATCAAGTCTACAGGAAGAGGTACTAGCTTAAGACAGTTGTATCATTTGATGTTCGATTTGATTTACGCTAAAGGTAAGAATCCAACGGTTGTATATTGTGGGACTGGAGCACGTATTTACGACTGGGTTTCGAATATTATACCCGAGAGTATCCTTGCATGGTTTTTGACGTAGATCATCCATTACTTCAGGAAATTGTCAACTTGTATTTTGCCATTATTGTAGTTACATAGTTTTATTAGGGTTCCAAAATATATGGTTTATGCACACCGTCTAGTTTTTGGTATAAAAACAGAAAATTTTCACACCTCGATGATAACGTAGTTTCTTTACGTTCATGGGCAAAGATTCGTTTTCGAAGCCTTCAAAAAGACTCTAGTAGTCATTAATGCTTTGGGGAAAGTCTCCGGCCATATATGCGGAAACGTAACAGATTCATCCATTTGTTTAAAACTATAGCAAGTTGATTGCTAGGTGGTCATTGAGTAGTTGCTTGTTTTCCTTGCTAATTCCTTTTGAATTATACTGCTCTGTTTAGGGGCAGCTCTGGCATTTGAAAACTAGTCATACTATTCATGTTACTGATTATCCTGCTTTATTCGATTTTGTTATAGTTTTATCCTGCCCATTAGGTTTTTCCTGGTGGTGTTTCTTTGAATTTCGGCAATGGGATGTTGATTCCTAAACGATAGTTATAACGAATGATTATCTTTTTGGTAATTAACTCAATGGAGCTTATTCTTGAACCATGAACGTCCCTACTATTTCAAAGCTTGATGTCTAATTGCATTTCAATTGAGATATTCGCATAGTCAAATATGCCAGGCTTCTTAATCAAGGGACATAATGTACTTCTGTTGAAGTGGAGTATTATATAGTTTTTAGAGTTATTACTGGTTTTATTCAAGTTGTTTGCAGGTGTCACGTCAACTATTTTTTTATTTAAGATTTTGTTTTTCAATGATGAAACATCCAAGCAAACATAGAGTCAAGCTCTGAGATTATTTCACTGTCTGGAAAGATGACTGGTTATAAATCATGGACGAGAGTTGCAAAATTTCTGATACAATATCTTGAATCTATATAATGTTGATTTGATCTGCAGACAAATTGAATATCTTGGCCCAATAATTCTAACTATTACATGGTGCTCATTATTTTATATATTTAGATATAAATTGTATAAAAAGAACGTAGTAAGTAAATTGCACGGTAAAAGCCAAAAAAATATTACAAATGAAAATAAGAAATTAGTAGAATTAAACTTACTCTGAATTAAGTATAAATACATCAAAATAACACAAAGTATCACAGTGAATTACACCAATCCATATAGTACAGATGCTATGCATATTATTCAACTTTCCAATGGCTAGTTAAAGCAGTTCTGCCTGAATTACTGTCGTTACCCAGTAATTCAGCGGTGTATAACAATAAAGTAGTACCCATATTGACCCAATTCCAAAATTGCCATGGATGCACGATTACCTGAATGTCCGAATTAGGACTCCACCAGCCCCAAATTTTTAATTCTGTTCCCAATTCACCCTTGTACAGCATCATTAGATGTGTATAGACTGCGATCACGATACATGGAGAGTAGGAGTATATTAATCTGATAATGGTAGAACGAGGTTCACGCTTTTTACCAAATGAATTTCTCGTAAATGAAGATTGGGAATGTGACAATGGCTGGATTTCGGTTGTGTCTATAACCTCTTCACTACTTGCTTCATGTGTGCTATTATGACGAGAATTTGAAGGCGTGGCAACTGGATGACTTAAGCCTGATATGTTTGTTGATGAAGGACGGGGAGATCTATTCTGTGAAGGCGTTCTTGGAGGGGTGTTGAAGGGATAGGAGGCATCATGGTATAATGATGGAATGATCTTAGTAGCCGCGTAAAACACACCAATTCTATAGGCCAAATTAAGTAATAAGGGTAATGGTAATTTATGGATCGACATGATTAAGAATTCCCAAATCGCTTTGAAAGATCCTGGTAAGTTCGAAGCCAAGAATGGCAATAATTGCAGTACAGTATTGGTAATCTGTGGAGGCAACTTAGGGATTTCATTCCGCAAGTTGAAAGTCGTTTGAGTAAATATGGATGTTAAAGTTTTGCTTGCATCTTCAGATAATATAGGGAATGTTTCATAAATACAACGTACAATGTAGGCAAACAAAAGTGCAGATTCAATCATTGACCCCTTACCTGACACGATTCCAAAGAGTCCCAAACCCGCTGTTAAGGTTAATAATGAGCCTAAAAGTGATGCACTGATCATATCGATTGTAAATGGGAACACGTAGATTCTGTACAAGAAATACAAGGCTCCAGTGATCGTAGAGCCACTTGCCATAAGCGAAACAATCAACCAACTGTCAGACTTATACACAGTAAGCCAATTGACGGTCTCACCGATAGCCTGAATCAATAATAAAGAACAGAAGCCTTCCAAAATTGTAAAAATAGGTGTGGAGTTCACAATAAAATAGCGCCAAATTTCATGAGGATGGTAAGCAGTCAGGGTCGTCGGTTGATTTGTACGATAATAAGATAAAAATAACGTTAACAAACTGGGGATGATAATATGCTGTAAGTAATACAAGAGTGAGACCCAACCGAAATATCGGCTTTTTCTTGTAACAATCCTGATAGTGGTCAATACAAAATAAAGAGCAAATGTGGTAAAAGAAAAGGCCAAACCACAAGTTATACCTCCAACGTCAAATGCTAATGGTATCGACAATATTATAAGCGCCAAATACACCGTAGACAATACCGCTCGAAGTACTCGAAATGTCCTAACCTTGATACGGCTCATACTTTCTCGCATTCTAACCTATCAATACACTAAGAATCCAAATATGTAGTAACACCTGATAGTTTTCTGATTATAATTCTGTTTCACTTATCTTCATAAAGTCCAGGAAAATTTATTCGTTCTGTTCAAAACTTTGTCAACAATTTTGAATATCCTGCTATGAACTAAAACACTTGTAGAAGCTTATATATCTCACTTATTGCCAAGTATGCTGTTAAAATTTAATTATATCAACTTCTTAATTCACTTTTAAATATGAAGCGTTGGGTATTAATATTATTGGTATTATTTCTATTATTATGATGAAAACTTCAGTCAAATTATGTTTCTATTGTAGTCGCACTGCGAAGAAGTCGTTATGGGAATTTGAAATTGTTTAGCACTATCTTGGAACTGATACACAAGGGAAATGGCGTCACTCGAATGCTTCTTAAGAGAACCGTCTATGCGTTAAGCTATACTTGGAAGAAAGTGTTGTTATTAGTATCAAATAAGAGCCTACCAATTAATACCACACGACTGAAACAATTATGAGGTGTTTGGATGTTTTTTACTTCGGAAGTATATGCAGAAACGGGACATATATTGAAAAAAACTGTACTATAGGAATCGATGAGCTAGGAAGAGGTGAATATTAACGATGCCTGCCCCATATAAGCGTAAGAAACACTCTGGGAAGAGACCGGAAGATAGCCATGATGCTAAGAGACCAAAACAGAAGCATGGAAGACAGGAGATGAGAACAATTACGAGGACAGCGAGAAGAGTACGTCGCGATGAGGAAGACGAAGAAGATGAGCAGGTTGAAGAAAATGTGAATGAGGAGTTAGAAAGTCAAGCGGACGATGTAGAAGATGAAGATGGCATTGATGATGATAAGGGCAAGGCTTACGATGCATTGTTGACGTTATTAAGTGGTGATCACCAGGAAGACACCAAGAAGAAAACCAGCGTACGAGCAGAACCAGAGCAGGTGCAAGGGACCCAAAGTGAAAGCGACGAAGATTCGGGAGACGATGAAATTGCCGGTGCTAATGTGGATGAGGACAAAGATGTCGACGAAGAAGGACCTGAAGAAGACGATGGAGATGACGATCAGCAGGACCCGTTCGAAGTTCATTTCAATCAGGTGAGCGATACTTTCATAGAGGAACAAGAAAAAGTATTAAAGGACAAGCCGAAATGGACATTTACTGATAAAAAAAATATAGAAGATGCGGGATACACTTATACGTTACAGGTTCCGCCTAATCCTATAAAGACAGGGGGAAAGGTTAAAGGTCAAAGTGTGAATAACTATAGCATTAAACAAAGGCTTGTTAGTCCATTCGAGAAGCAACACCCAGAATCTCTTAATGAGTTGGAAGGTGTCTTGTTGGATTCAATGGTGAAATATCAGGACATTAATTATGTGTACAAAACATTCGACAATGAGTCGTACAAGAAACTTTATGTTTTGCATGCATTGAATCATATATTCAAGACCAGAGACCGTATATTGAAAAATAACAACAAGTTGCATTCATACCAAGAGTCAATGAAACAAGGAAAAACTAATATTGAAGAACCTGAGCTTAGAGATCAAGGTTTCACCCGTCCAAAGGTGTTGATCTTGCTTCCCACCAGAAATGCGTGTTATGAAATTGTTGAATTATTGATTAAATTATGTGGTTCTGAACAACAGGAAAACAGGAAGAAGTTTAGCAAACAATTTTTCAATAAGGAAACTCCTCCAGACTCAAAGCCCGAAGATTTTAAACATTCATTCAGAGGAAACAATAATGATTTTTTCTGTATTGGGTTGAAATTCACCAGAAAATCGCTTAAGCTTTATTCTTCATTCTATTCATCTGATATCATAATAGCATCACCTATCGGGCTTTCCATGATATTGGAAAATCCTGATAAGAAGAAGAGACAATATGATTTCTTATCGTCTATCGAGGTATTGGTTGTGGACAGAGCTAATCAGATTGAAATGCAAAATTGGGATCACGTCAATACAGTGTTCAAATATTTAAACAAGATTCCTAAGGACTTTCACGACGCAGACTTTTCTAGAATTAGAATGTGGTCTATTAACGACCAAGCAAATTTATTAAGACAGAATTTGGTCTTCAGCGAGTTCTCCACTCCAAATATCAACAATATTGTAAGTTCAAAGTCACTGAATTTGTCAGGGAAACTTCGTTTCAAACCAATAACCACGTCTAAGAATTGTATCATGAATTCAATTGGATTAAAATTAAAGCAAATATTCCAAAGATTTGAAAGTGGTTCCCCCATGACTGATCCAGAATCAAGGTTTAAGTTCTTCATTAACTCTGTTCTTCCATCGTTGACGAGATCCACCTCGTATGACGACGGTTTGTTAATTTTCATTCCCTCGTACTATGACTATTTAAGAATCAAGAATTACATGAAAACATCAACCAAATTCACCTTTGCGTCGATAGATGAATATTCTTCCCAATCAAAGTTATCGAGGAATAGGCAACAATTTGCGTCGGGAAAAATCAAGATCATGCTCTATACTGAGAGATTGCACCACTTCCGTAGGTTTGAAATCAACGGTGTTAAAAACCTCTTAATGTATGGTCTCCCATCTAATCCAGTATTTTACAAAGAGTTGGTTAGGTTCATTGGTAAGTCTGTGTTTAGAGAAATCGCCGATTTGGACTTGTCATTTATCAAAATCCTCTATTCGAAATGGGACGCTGTGTCCCTCGAAAGAGTTGTTGGTAATGAAAGAGCACCCGTATTGTGCAACTCTGTCAATGAAATGTATGAATTCAGATAATTTATTTAGACAATAAATACTACTTCCCTAATATACAAACAATTATAACAATTTAATAATTATGACTATGATCTCAAAACGTTAAATGCCATAGCAAAACATCCTATGGCCACATATGGGCTTAATCTCTCACCGATTCTAGCAAACTTCCAGAATATTCCAAAGGCACCAGTCTTGTTCTTATCTAAAATAACCGGCCATGTAGCATGAATATAAGTACATGTACAAATCAACAATAATATCACTTGCAATAAAGATTGAAAATTAAATAAAGCAGACTATTAAGTTAGTATAATTCCAATAATTCACATATGTAGATCGTTTTATCTATGGACTTACCATTGTATATCAATTTGTATGAATAGTATAAACGTGTTGGCTCTTCTAACGCTTAAGCTAACAAAAAATACAATCACGATGAAATTACACAAAAACCAGGCAGACTAGCATCGCAGAATTAAGGACTCATAGAGTGGTTTACCACCTATATCCTACCATAGACGATGAAGTTGATAGTAAAACCAATCCTATTATAACATCCACTTGTTACATTACTAAACAAAAATATAAATATTTGCTTCAAGCTCGAAAAAAAGCTCAAACAGTATTGTATAAACTAGATACCTATCTCCCCCTTGAATATGAGTGAAGTTTTAGACGATCCGTTCCAAATGGACGAAGAACTACCTAGTTATAAAGAAAATGATAGCGTACATAAGGATATAACACCCAGATATGACGATAATGAGATGATGAATGACACAAGAATAATGAATTCTGATAAGAGATATATACGATCTAAGCTAGACCAGCTTAAGATAAATGAAGAGAGTAATAATAATACTGGAGACGACGAGCCGTCGTATGAGGAGGATATCGACGATAAGTTTGACGGGACTTTTGAGCCAAAGGAGATACAAAAAACCGGCGATTTTGCATATCAGATACCTCAATTGACTCCTCCCGAAAACTTTGCACCGGTGATTAACAAGATATATCGGTCTTCGTTCCCACAACCGTGTAATTTTCCATTCGTAAAGAAGTTAAAATTGAAGTCCATCCTTTGTCTTATACCGGAGGACTACCCAGAGGAACACGAGCAGTTTTTGAAGAAGGAGAATATCAAACTCTTTCAGCTCGGGATGTCGGGGAATAAGGAACCCTTTGTGAAGATATCACATAATCTTATAACAGAGGCGATAAAAATAGTCCTCAATCCGGCCAACCAACCAATATTAATACACTGTAACAGAGGGAAACATCGTACCGGTTGTCTTGTAGGTGTACTACGCAGATTACAGAAATGGTCGCTTACAATAATCTTTGATGAATATCGGAAATTTGCTTCTCCCAAGGAAAGACCAATGGACCAACAATTCATCGAACTCTACAATGAAGATGAGCTAGAAGAATACGCCAAAGAAAATGGCCTTCTACCAATCCCGTGGGATTGACCTTGACCCTACCATACTCTGAACTTCAGTTTAAAACTTCATATTTTTATATACCTATAGATAGATTTAATGCCAAAAGAATTTCTTGCCGTACATTCCAACGTTTCCAAGTGCTAACACACTCAAACCTATTGGGTTCAATCTTCCCAATGCCAAGCTCTTGACGCTGGATGTCCCGTTCACAATCAAGTATAGCGTCGACCATGCGAAGTTGAAACCTGCACCATTAGCAAGGTCCCCATCGTAGATAATCCATCCCCCGAGTAAGTGGGCAGCACCAAACGTGAAACACGACAACCTCGATGGCTTCGATAATGATAACCATTGACTAAATTTGGCTGATCCCCCTGATGTGCCTGTGGCATTAGCAATCGGTTTGTGCGTCGTGACACCTTTATAGAGAAGCACCGCTGAAAAAAACCATGCTGGGTATGGCGTATTTGGTAAGTCATTGGCTGACTTGGTCAATCCCTCAATGTTTAATGTATGTCCTCCGCCCATGCTTGAATATTCGTTTCCTCGAACTTGTTGATAATTATCAATTATAGCCATCAGTTGCTGAAACTCCACTTAATAATATGACACGACGTGTCATAACCACATTTGGCCCATCACGATACAATCACCATTATTCTTCAAGTGTTCCTTCGTCTACACCTTACTGGGGCCCCAATTTGTTGCCATTCGGGTGAATCGGACCACTCAGATCTACATTTTTTTTTATTTCATATTAAACATTTATTCAATAAAACACATACTAATATACAAAAAGTAAAGCTTAGGCGCACCTAAGATCTTTCACCTCTTAATCTTCTGGCTAATTGGATATCCTTCTTTTGGATAGTAACTCTCTTAGCGTGAATAGCACATAAGTTAGTATCTTCGAATAAAGAGACTAAGTAAGCTTCAACGGATTCTTGTAAAGCACCAATAGCAGAAGATTGGAATCTCAAGTCGGTCTTGAAATCTTGAGCAATTTCTCTGACTAATCTTTGGAATGGTAACTTTCTGATCAATAATTCAGTAGACTTTTGGAATCTTCTGATTTCTCTTAAAGCAACGGTACCAGGCTTATATCTGTGAGGCTTCTTGACACCACCGGTAGATGGAGCAGACTTTCTAGCAGCCTTAGAGGCTAATTGTTTTCTTGGGGCTTTACCACCAGTGGATTTTCTAGCTGTTTGTTTAGTTCTAGCCATTGTTAATGATTTAGAATGATATAAAATATAATCTAAAATTAAGTTATACTAATCTGGGATTTGGGGGTGTTTAAATACTTTGTCTGATGAACTTTTCCCTCGCGCAACCAAAACATATCAACACGAATCCTCTGTGCGAGGTAACTATCAATAAGCCTACAAATTGACAAACAATACTTCTGTCACGCTGAGAAGACGATACACGCAATGCTTCATTTGTTTATGTCGCTTATCTGGGGGTGAAAGTCGCCCAATACCAATACTATCATTTACTCAAGTTGATGTGTAAAAATTAGTATGGAATCAAAGGCCTTTTGATCGCGACTAAAGTCGTTTTGATGATGATGAGAAAAAGTAAACAAACAAACGGACCATAAATAAATAAACAAGTCACACGAAAGTACCACGAAAGTATCACGGAATAGAATAGGATGACATGGTATAAATATGAAGCGATCCGTAGTTCGATTAAAAAGTTCATTTATAAGAATCATTAAGATTAGTTATTCTATTTCTTTGTAAATTTTAACAACTAACAAATAATAATTAACAATGTCCGGTAGAGGAAAAGGTGGAAAAGGTTTAGGAAAAGGTGGTGCCAAGCGTCACAGAAAGATCTTGAGAGATAACATCCAAGGTATTACCAAGCCAGCTATCAGAAGATTGGCCAGAAGAGGTGGTGTTAAGCGTATTTCCGGTTTGATTTACGAAGAAGTCAGAGGTGTCTTAAAGACCTTCTTAGAAAACGTTATCAGAGATGCTGTCACCTATACCGAACACGCCAAGAGAAAGACCGTTACCTCATTAGATGTTGTTTACGCCTTAAAGAGACAAGGTAGAACCTTATATGGTTTCGGTGGTTAAAGTGCTTGACTGCTACAATGTATTTCTAGTTCTGTTCAGTGTATATTAGAATCAATATTATGTTATCTATAAAATTCGAGATGTAGACTAGCTGAGCAACTTCTCGGCGATGTTGTTTTGGCCTAGAATTCCGCCGGTTGCGAGGAATTTGTTTAAGCGGTTTTTGATTTCTTCTTCCCAGAAATCAACGTCGACTGGTTCGGGAGGTACGTATTTGTTGCTTGTGATGTCGGCCCACGAGCGGATACACGACGCTGCCGAATCTTCATTATCCTTTCCCTTGGGACATCTACATCTACACCCGATTCCATTAGGACGGGGACTGTCTGGCGAAACCCATGCCGAGACTTTACCCAAATCCTTGCCGTAGTATTTTTCGCTTGGTTCATATTTTAGCTGGTATCTTCTCGAGTTCCCAGGGCAATGGCTCAATGCTGAGTGCTTGTAGCCAATATCTCTGAAATAATGTATATCCTTGAGGTCAAGTAACATACCTATAGCAAGTGAATGTACAGGGGCATCACCCCATCGTTCTTTATAAAACCCTCCACTCTTCTCTAAATGGTCAAAATACGCTTCGTATCTTGGTGAATTAAACAAGTCGGTTCTGGCAATTTCAAAATTCGACCAGAAATGGCACATATTATACTCTTCTAGGTCGAATCTATCTTCATATAATTGTGGCTTTTCTTTAGACTTAGAAATTACTTCATCTAGTAACCGCAGGTCATACTCGGGGATTTGTTCATCCGTTTTGTCCTTCATTGATAAGAACTTCTTAAGGGTTAAGTTCATTTCTATCGCTCGCAATATATCTGACTTCAATTTTAATCCATCGTACTTGGCAGCATTTTTACCCACTGCATACTTATAGTCCTTGATAAACAAACTCCATGCATTACCTAGTGGAACGTTATTTTTCCTTATAAATGCCCTTGTTTCTTTAAATAACCCCGGAATAGTGTAGTATAGTTCGCCAATAACAACGTTGAACCCATATTTCTTATTGCGCTTCTCCATTTCAATAAAGGGATCGTATGTCAAATCGCAAAAGAATTCAACGTCGGGCTCCACCCTCCAATACCAATCTCTTTTCTTCACCAATTCATGTTTGTAGAAATAGCCCGAAAAAAACCGACACATCTTATGGTAGGACTCAGAATTTCCGTACATGATTCTTCTATCTCCTTGGTTGGCAATATGTTCGTTTAATTCATCTTTATCAATATCTTCATTAAAATTCCACTCTTTCTCCGGGATAGTTCCAAACTCTACCTTGGATGACGTATACTTTATGACGGTATTCTTGAATTCGTCATCGAATGGCTCATCATTCAAAAAAACCCATGGATAATTAAACCACTGGTTAAAATGTTCCTCCATCGACTTCATTGATTTGATTACTTTTTTGAGTTCTGAATTCCTGGCTAATACCACGAGAGCTGCATTCGCCCTTGGCTGAGTTATATCTGGTACGCGACATCCAATTTGAAAAGGTGAGTCTATGTCAGACGATATCATTGTTTCGCTCATGAAATCACCTTCGGCGTCTTCTAATGGGTCCGAAAATGTTCCTATATCTTCTTGAATATTTTTTTTTGCTCCCTGAAACCCTAAATGAGTAGCTAAGTATACAAAGAAGACAATTACTAGCAACATTATCCATAGTCTGTATGATCGTTTGGATAAGCGTATTCGCCTTAATGTGTGTACTATAGACTTGATATCCCTAAACCTTGCCTCGGTGAATGAAATTTCATAGTCATCATCGTCGTCGGAATAGTCATAGTCTGAGTCAGATGTATCGTACGGTTCTGAAGAGTCCCTAATCGACCCTTGATCGTTAGTCTTTACTGCTGGCATTAGATCATAAGATCGCCTCGTAGTAGTCGTTGAATGCGTTTTAATAAGCAGAGAAAGCCAATAAGTTTTATTAAGACCAAAGTAGCTCTTAGTTTCAATCCAATAGACCTACAGTACAATTACAGTTGATCTATAGATAGTATTATTAACGAAAAGCCCGTGATACTAAATCAGAAGAAAATATATTAGTTTATTCCGAAAATCTGACGCACCACGCAAGCGAAAAAACCGTTTTGAATAAAGTATTCATTGATACTTTACTAAAATGAAATACTGATAACTAAGAATCTAAGAACCAAACCTGTCCAATTCAATCTGAAAAACATTTAAGTTTCAAATAGAACCCAAAATAATCCAAAAAGAACAAAAAATTATAGGAAACCTTAGCGGTAACTTAACCAATAGGATATGGTTTTTCAGGGTTTCATGGATGAATGAGTCCCTTTCTATTGTAAATTGAAGTATTCAGATAAATCGCATCATTTTCCTGGTTAATATTCGTTAGTTAATTTTCTATTTTGTAAAATTATTTCAATTGGTGTTCGTTATGCTGATAAAAATGTCTTGCATCAATCAGATAACATGACCAGCGAAACATGTCCCTGAATTAGAAAATGGCTAAATCAGAACATAGGTTAGACTATCAAGATCAGATTATCAAATTTAACTTTAAGTTAAAGCTAGAAGTAAGCGGAATTGATTCTTCACAGTAAAAATAACTGTCGGTCTGGCTCATAATAGAAACCATAAAATACTTTATCAAATTTGCGAACATAATTGATAAAGGGAACAAAAAAAGTTGATGCAAACCAGCAATGAAATCTTTTTCCATCCTAAATCAACATGAAAAATCGTGGGCTACCAAATTGTATTAGGTACATAGGGTACGGCATATTTAATGACGTTAGAAGTAGGATCCCTCATTATAAATCAGATATCCAAGATGCATGGAATTATCGCATCATACCATCAACTTTGTTTATATTTTTTGCCAATTTGTTGCCAGCTATATCCTTTGCTCAGGATATGTATGATAAGACGGATCAACTGTATGGTGTTAATGAAACTTTGATGAGTTCAGCAATTGCAGGAGTGGTTTTCGGAATGTTTTCTGGTCAACCCCTTTGTATGGTAGGTGTTACGGGTCCAATCACCATTTTTAATTATACCGTTTATGAATTAATGAAACCTAGAGGTACACCATTCTTCCCTTTTATGTGCTGGATTTACTTATGGTCAATGGTTATGCACTTTGTTATTGCAATCACAAATATGGTCTCATATATAAAAATAATTACTCTGTACTCGGCTGATGTATTCGGGTTTTTTGTCTGTGTTGTTTATCTTCAGAAAGGTGTACAGATTTTGAATAATCAGTTTGCAGTAAGCCTCGAAAGCGGTTATTGTTCCGTGATGATAAGTTTACTAATGGTTATCTTTGGGGTTGGGTGTAATGTATTTGGGAATAATCTACATTACTTCAGAGGTTGGTTCAGAAAAATTTTTAGTGATTATGGTATGCCTTTAGCAGTTATATTCTTCACCGCATTTACATATTTTGGAGGCAATTTATCCAAAACTGAATTAGATAAATTGCCTATAACAAAGTCGTTTCAACCAACACAC